CCTTAAATTAACTTTTTCGGCCCTAGTTTTTCCTTGACAAATAGGTGGGACTGCTATTAGGGCATAATACGCTGTGCTGGAGGATTTACGGGACTTTTTGGAACGTTAATCTGTTGCCACGGCGCAGACAACGGCTAAACGGGGAAGGCACAACGAGGAATGCAAAAGAAAAGAAAAAAGCAAGAACTAGCATCACAATTAAAATTTAGAAATAAACTCAATTAAATACTGAAATAAGAATAAAACGCGAATTAAACGGGAAGTTATTAAACACAAGATAGAAGATAAAATTAAAACCCCGGTGGTGTATGGAAAATTTAAGAACAAATCGAGAGGGCAAAAAAAAACACGTCCGTTCACCTAGAAAGATATGTGATGATAATGAGACGTATTTGTACATTGGTGTTTTTCAACATATTTTCAGCTCTAAATATTTGTTATTTTTCAAATTTTCGGATTTAATTTTATGAAAATAGAACGACTAAGTCATACATCTGCCATAGAAACGATTGTTAAATTAAGAGGAAAAATGGTAAACTCTGAATGTAAACTGCATTTAAAATATGTTCAGGTGAATGTAATGAAAGTAGGCATTAATTCGTAGTTCTTCAACATAAAGACATATAACATATGTACATAACATATATATTTGGTTGTCCAATAAGTCTTGCGGTTTCGCTAGTTGTTGCTGCAAGTGCGTAATTCTAGTTTTATTCGTCGCATAATATATACCTTTTTAGAAAACTCTTTTCAAAGGCAAAAATGCATCTCAAGCCGCTAATAAAATTTGTGCAGTTTATGAACCTGACTCAGTTTCCATTTCCACCGCACAATGATGGTTTCAACGTTTTCATTCTGGTGTGGAGGTGGTCGAAGATGCGCCACGCTCCGGAAGGCCTGTCGTGGAAAATTGCGATAAAATCGCAATTGGTCGAAAGAGATCGGCATAGTAGCAGTCCTAGCATGGGTCAAGACCTGGGCATGAGTCATCAAACCGTAATAAACCATTTAAATAAATAATAGTAAAAAAAAACCAAAAAAAAAAAAAAACACTTATAAGTAACCGAACTTAAAAGAAGATAATAATTTATAACTACAAACAAAATTATTAAATTCAGAGCAATAGTATATAATTATAAACATGATCTCTTAATTAAGAGTTAAAAGCGCGCCAACTACCTGTTTTTTTTCTGTTATTTTATATATATAATTATATCAATCATTTTTATACCCTTGCACGGTATTATAATTTCAGTCAGAAGGTTGCAACGCAGTGAAGGAGGCACCTCCGACTATATAAAGTATATATATTCTTGATCAGGATCAACAGCCGAGTCGATCTAGCCATGTCCGTCTTTCCGTTTCTACGCAAACTAGTCTCTCAGTTTTGAAGCTAACTGAATGAAACTTTGTAGTTAGTCTTCTATCTCTCACTCGTATATATGTCGGAACGGGCCGGATCGGACGACTATATCATATAGCTGCCATAGGAATGGTCTGAAAATTTTTACAAAAAAATTATAACCTTTTCAGTTTTCAACAGAATTTAATCAAATTTGAGATATAGCCATTCTAAAATGTTGTGAAAAATTATATGAAAATCGGACTACTATATCATATAGCTCCGATAGAGAAATTAATACAATTAAAAATTATAACGTTTTCAGTTTTCAGCAGATTTTCATCAAACTTAAGGAATAGCCATTTTATATCAGTCTTAAATTTTGTGTCAAATTTTATGAAAATCGATCGACTATATCATATAGGTGCCATATCGTTAGATGTGGAGCAAAAATGTAAATTTGTGAATGTAAAACTGAAAATATAATATGTATAGGTGAATGAAATGAAATCAGGTATTATTGTCTTTTAACATAAATATATATAATTTATATTGTATAGAAAAACATTTATCATTGTTTGTAACAATAGTTAAACATGTACTTGGCGAGACATTGTACAGTGAAACCAAAGACTTTATAACTTATAAGATGCCTCACGGCCATACATTCGTTTTGCAATATGAGGCTAATTTTTTGATTCAAACGACAATGGCGCTCTCCCTGCTCTCACAAAGTTGAGAGCGTAAATATCTAAAAATAGAATGCGTTTGCATGTATGAGTAAATACAGAACAAAAAAGTGCGCATGTGTGCGTGAATATGTGTGTGCTTCTGTTCGCATGCCCAACGACGAAAAATTAAAATTTTATATTTTGGCTGAAGACCGCTTGTTAGGTAAAGAGGGGGACGAGAACGGCAGCAAAAACAGCTGATGTATACATGTGCATATCGATGTGTTTGTTTGTTTTGATTTTAGTTTGTTTACATTTTTAAAGTGCTTGAGTCCCTTTATATTGTTATTTTTTTCTTTATTTTTAATTATATTATATTTATAAGTAATGCAAAAAATAAAAATACTTCGTTTAATTCCAATATTTAAATATATATGTATATTATATATTTGAATTATTAAATATATACATATGGGCAATTCTCCAGAAAGGTCCACCGCGGCCAAAAACTTAAAATTGCTTAAAAACGAGTATTTTTAACATGATTATAAAAAAATTGGTCAGGATGATCAAGACTAAGAGAATTTTTCATTTTCTAAAATAAGTTTCAAAAAAATCGATGTCAAACACGCGCAAATGCAAAAAATGTTGTTTTTATCAAAAAAAGGCATAAAAAATGGAATGTTTTGTTTTGATGTCAATCTATTAAACAAAGGGATTTTGCTTTGACTTTTGCTTTCTAATATCACATAGAAAACCCAAAGAGTAAATAAAAAGTGGAAAAGGATATATGCGATCATCAAATTCGTTCAATTTTAGTTTGAATTATCGCTTTCCAAACTGTCGCGTGCGACCGGGACTAAAATTAAATTTAAAAAATAACTACTTAATATTTTAAAATCAAACAAAACAAATTATGAAGAGAATTCATTGCGTAATTCATTAAAATTTATTTTACTACAATTTTTCATCACGTTTCGCTGAAATCAGAGCTTAAACTTGTTTTTTGCAAATGTAACTTCTATTTTTGTCGCGTGCAAACGCAGTACATTTTAGTGAATATCTTGAAAACAAACAAGGGTTCAAAATCGACCTTAGCACCAATTATAGTGCTAACCAAGAGCTATACGTTTCAATTTTTATAAAATTAAAATAAAGTCTTGGCACATGTGTTTTTTTAGTTTGAATGCGTACGAATGTCGCATTCGACACCAGAGAATTGCCCATATATTAAATATTATTATTATAATAACAAAAAAATACCATTTAAATTCATATTTATATATGTATGTATAATTATTATAATTATAATTATTAATAAATTCAACCGCGAAATCGGTATTTTGAGGCACGCCATGTTGGTGTATGCGTATGAGAGAGCTGCTGGCTCTCGAGCCATCACGAAAACATTGCTGTATGCGTGAGAGTGCTGCTGGCTCTAGACTCTAGAGTCTAGAGCCAGCACGAGAGAGCGGCTGGCTCTAGAGCGCTCTCTCGCTGGCTTTTGAACGAAGTGCGAGAGAGCCTGGAGCCAGTTCAAAAGCCAGCACGAAAAAATCGTGTGCAAAAAAATCGTATGGCGTTACTAATCTTATACTTATACAATCTTTGGTGAAACTGTTGCTTGTAGGATTTTTCTTATCTAAATTATTTTCTTCTTTTTAGCTCAGTTATTTATAAAAGCGTGTTTTTTTAGTTTTTTAAACTATTATTTATTTTCTGGCGATTTACCAATTTTATAAACAATTGAAAATTCAATAAAAATACCGCAAGACTTTTTTGACAACCTAATATATTATGTTACATTGGATGCGTTTAGCTGATGATCATATGATCATCGATCAGTGATGGATCTGTAATCAGTATTCAAGCAGGTTTTGCATTCGTAAAAAAAATAATCACATATTTTGTTGTTTCATTACCGCATTACAGCACTACACACTTCAACGTAACTATAAAGTCTAAATAATAACAAATAACTAATAATTACTAAGCAATATGTATTTGTAAAAGAATAACTACGGAAGCTTCTGTTTTCATGAATAAGAATTTATATTTCCCTCGGTTTGCATTTGTATTATTCTCATCGATATTTCAATACATCACTATCGCGAAAAGATAGCGCTCCATTTTTGCTGATCATACGAGTTCAGCAGAACTATCTCAATAACTCCATCAGTGATCATTGATCATATTGTTTGGTGAACGCAACCATTGTATTAATTATAAATGATCAAATCGCGATCCGCAAGGGTATACAAACTTCGAGAAGCTGGCTTTTTTTATACTCTTGCCGGGTATTATAATTTCATTCAGAAGTTTGCAACGCGTTGCAACGCAGTGAAGGAGAAACCTCCAATAAAGTATATATAGTCTTGATCAGGATCAACATCCGACTCGATATGGCCATTTCCGTCAGTCCGTTTCTACGCAAACTAGGCTCTCAGTTTTGAAGCTATCTAAATGAAACTTTGTGGTTAGTCTTCTATGTATATACTAACACTCGTATATAATTTGGAACGAGCCGGATCAGACGACTATATGATATAGCTGCCATAGGAATAATCGGAAAATTTTAAATAATTAAAAATTAATTATTAAAAATTTGAGATATAGCCATTCTATTGTCATCAAATTTGAGATATAGCCATTCTATTGTCATCAAATTTGAGATATCGCCATTTTATATTAGTCTTAAATTTTGTGTAAAATTTTAATAAAATCGGACGACTATATCCTATATGACTTATAAGACCTATTTGAATAGGTGCCATTCAAATATAATATGTATAGGTGAATGAAATAAAAGCAGGTATTACTTCATTGTTTCCTAGTCATCGAAGTTCCATATGCATGGGTATAAATTAAGGGCAAATATGTACATATGTTCAAAATTTGGCAAATATATTGCGTTGTTTATTACTAACTGCTGTAGAATATATATTTAGTATTCAGTTCCTCTTTTAAAAAACATATTATATTTTAAGGAAAAATGCATTCGGTGGGCATACATTCCGCTATGGCGATTAAACGACAACGAAAGCGAAGGGATGAACAGAAGAGAGCTAGAGAAAGACGATATAGTACGCAAAGCTCAGAGAGTGGGGAAACATTTCACTCTCCAACAGGATCGGTTAGACGAAAATATAATCATCCTCACCATGCGGCGAAACCCGGAATGCTAGATAGCCAGGTTACAGTTTAATATTAATAATAAAGTAAGAATGTATATCATTTTGTATAACAGGTAGTCACAAGTATTGGAATGTTGCATATTGGCATTGTATTCATTGTATTTGGAGTTTTCCTTTGCGGGGCTGGTATTATTCCTGATGAAGCGATGTCCTGGAATGTATTTAGTAAGTAACATATGTCAAGCATCTATAATCAATTTGTTACAAATGATAACGTTGTTTTGCTCTTATTTTTGCACTTCAATTATTTATATATATTATTTTTAACATATATGTGTGAGCCTGCAGCTATAAATTATTTATATTTGTTTAGTTCAGTTGTATACCCTTACACATGATCAGGTTTACTCTCTTTATTTTATTTTTAAGGCTGTGATGATTTGATATTTGAATAGCTGCGTAAGGTCCGAAAAATGTTTGCTTCAATATTTTTGATTTGCCTACTTTGTACTTTAAAATAAGAGAAAGACTAAAAAAAATACAATTTTGAATTACAAAAACTCTGAAAAACATGCGCGGCCAAACAATTTTATTTAATTAAATTGAATCTGCGATGTTTAAATTTGTCTTTGAATATGTGTAAATTTGTTTTGGGAACATTTTTATTTTTGAAGATGTGTCTGTTTGAAATGGTCATGGATCATGTCCGTATTTCTAGTCCGTTTTTCTAGTTAGTCTGCCTTTTCGTTAACTGGGATCTTGTTATGTCCCGGTTACTTGTACCTCATTTTTCTTAGCAAGTCTATTTAGGGCCTTCTTGCTTTATATACGTGAGTTTGTTTTCACGGCAGCTAGAGATTTTATAGCCGCTTGGCTATCCGAGTATAGACCATCAGGCGACCGTCGTCTTGGTGCTCATCCATCACAGCCATATTCAGACTGTCTCTGGCCACCTACTAAACTTCTTTGCCTTGCTGACAAAGTTGGTCACTCGTGGCTTGCTTTGTGGGTCCTTCGTCCTTTTGGGTGCGCTCTCGCTCACTTCCTGTGACCGATTGCGCTTCGCATTTGAGGGCTGGAACGCCGATGGGTTTGCCGTTTTGTAGGCCTCATATTCCGCGATCTGCGCAAGGAATTTGGCTTTGTCCTCGGCGTCTCGAGGGTCGGTCTTGCACTCAGCCTCGTTCTACTCTATCTTGCCGAGAACAAAGCGGGTTCTATTGACGCTCGCTCGCTTTTGATGTTGAGACATTTTTGCCAATTCTTCGGTGGTGCCCAACTGAGACCCACCTGTGTGGTTTGATTGACGAGTGCTACTTGGCCTCCCCTCGGATTGCGACTCTTCTTCGTCGGTCTCCGATAGTAAAGGAGATACCGCGCCCAGTCTCGCCCTCAGCATCTCCTCCTCGTCCATCTTTGACATTGTTCGGGGCTTATCCTCTCCCGGGAGTTCCGAAGCTCGGCGTTGTGATTCCGTTATCATTCATATTCGCCCGCTTTGCTCGACCTGGCAAGCAGGGCATTGAAATAATGTCGACCGCAGCTTCGCCATAAAACTGCGGCTTGGCAACTTACGTCCCAGGGTTGCCTGACCCTGGGAAGACTCAGTACTGACACAGCTGGATTATACCCTCAGCTGCGAACCTAGAAGTCAGTGGGCATGGGTCGCAATAGACATCTGACTTGAAGGAAGACTGTTTAAAGACTTGCCCAGGTCAGCCCGACTACAATTGGTCAGCATCCCCGGTCGAACCCCGACTGGGGACATGCTTTCAGCCATCCGGTACCGGTGGTGTACACAGTTACGGCAGATGACTCAGTCATCCGTTGTATCCCTGTGTATCCTATTGGCTGACGTCAAAAAAAAAATTAAATAAACTTATGTTAAAAAACAATGACGTAATGCCTGCTTTCATTTCTTTAACCTATACATATAATATTATATTTACAGTTTTACAATCACAGTTATGCATTTTCCTCTATATCTAACGATCGTTTGTATGCCAGCTATATGATATAATAGAAAAAGTTATTTTTTTTAATTGTATTAATTTTTCGATCGTTCACATGGCAGCTATATAATATAGAAGTCCGTCTTCCATAAAATTTTACACAAAATTTTAGAATAATAAAAAAGGGATATATCTCAAATTTGATGAAAATTTGTTGATAACTGAAAAGTTATAATTTTTAATTGTATTAATTTCTCGATCGCTCCTATTGCAGCTATAGTAGTCCGATTTTCATAAAATTTTTAAACAAAATTCTAGAATACTAAAAAAATATGATGAAAATCTGTTGAAAACTGAAAAGTTCTAATTTAGTGAGAGTGAGTGAGAGTATATAGAGACTAACTACAAAGTTTCATTTAGATACCATCAAAGCTAAGCAAACAAGTTTGCGTAGAAACAGACAGACGGACATGGCTAGATCGACTCGGCTGTTGATGCTGATCAAGAATATAAACGTTATATGGTCGGAGGTGACTCCTTTACTGCGTTGCAATGTTCTGACTGAAATTATAATACCCTGCAAGGGTATTGTTTGTGGGGAAGACAACGATTTTGCCACCCTTAAGCAAAATGACTAACGCTCGAATTAGGTTGATTAAATGCTGTGTATTTCGTTTTCACTTCTCTGGTCGGAGCTGCAACTAACGATCAAATGCTTGACTTCAACATATATAAAAACGCTTACAATGTAGCTTAGCATAACGATAAGGCGACAGAAGAAGAAGAGATAGAAAAATAGATAACGAAGAGATAAGCTATGAGCGCAGCAGGTGCAGTAGGGACAAGTACTCGCTGCTCCACCTCTTCCAAAAGTGCTTCTGCATCTGGGTCACCCGTTGCCATCTGCTGAGGTGGCCTTCGCGAAGATGAGTCACGTCAGGCTCAGGAAATCGGCCGTAGCTGGAACCCCTTAGGAAGTGTGCTGGCGTTAGCACTTCCAGGTCATCCTACCTTCTGCAAGTGGACAGAGTGGTCGAGAATTGAGAATGGCGGAAATCTCATACGATAGGGTTCGCAATTCATCAAGGGTCAAGATGGAGCGTCCGACGACCATGTAAAAATGATAATTCGCCGACTTTGCCGCCATCAGCCAAACAAGCAGATGATATCGATGCCGTGTGTTGCTCGCTCAAAAACAATGCCTTTAACTCGGAAAGCTTGCTCTTCGCGCCGACGAAGTTTGTAGCATTGTCGCTCCAAATAAAACGCGGACTGCTAATAAACCTTCTGAGGGCTGCGATGAAGGAATCGGTTGTGAGGTCCTGGACGATTTCCAAATGTGCCGCCTTCGTGGAGAAACAGACAAATACGGCGTTATATCACTTGTGAGGTGCTTTATTCCTGCTTTCCGCTTTGCAATAGAAGGGCCCACAATAGCCCACTCCTGTGGCATGAAAAACAGGAGGAGGCCGCACTCTATCTGCTGGCAGGCTACCCGTAACGTGCTCCCAAGTTACTGGCTTCATTCGAAAACATCGTATGCATTTGTTGACGACGCTAGCTACGAATTTGCGGCCTCCAATTGGCCAATAACTTTTCCGCAATGTGGCAAGCAATGCTTGTGGTCCTGCATGTAAATATTTTCTATGAAAATAAATGACGATCGCCTTTATGACTGCGTGATCCATGGGTAACAATATCGGAGGCCTCATATCGTAGTCCAACTTTGAATTTTGCAGCTTTCCGCCAACGCGCAGTAATCCATCGAGTGAGATCAGTTTGTTCTCCTGAGGACACGGCTTGTCCTGGCTGAGAACCCTATACTCCTTGGCAAAGTGAACCTGCTGGATGCTCCTTAGAAGCAGCACAGTACCAAGATTGATCTCTTTAAACGAAAGAAGCCTTTTAATGGAACAACTTTGCCTTTGCAATTGGCAATGAAACGATGAATATACGCAAATACGCGCTGCAACTTATCAAAAGTGTTGATGAATTTGCTGCTCGATGAAACGTCATTGCAAACGGCTCCAATAATCCTTAACTGGCTCCAACAGAGAGGGCCAATTCGACGAGCTTTGAAGCAGGAACGAAGGTCCGTTAGCCCAAAGGGAATGATCCAGCAATTCTCTTGGGGTACATCCTCTCGACACGACATCTGCCGGGTTTAAAATTGTTGGAAGGTGATGCCAAGTCACGTCGTACGTCATCTCCTGTATTTTCGCGATTCGGTTTGACACAAATACGTTGAACTCCCTCGGGGGCTGGCGAATCCATCCCAACACAATAGACGAGTCACACCAGCAATAAAATGCGCAGTCGAAATCTATACTTTCCTTGACGTTTACTATAAGCTCAGCCAATAATAGTGCTACTGAGAGTTCCAATCTTGGAATTGTCAAAGCCTTCAAGGGAGCTACTCTCGATGTGGCACAGAGCAAATGGACCTTTAATTCTCCATTAACCTCCGATCGCAAATATAAACACGCTCCATACGCTGACAGGCTAGCATCGCAGAATCCATGCAGTTCAACGGAAGTCTGTGGTTGCATTGCGAATCGTAGAAATTTTATGTTCTGGATGACAGTTGGTACTGAGAGGCCAACTCCCCCCATGACGAAAGAATGGGCTCTGGCAAAACGTCATTCCAATCCACGTTAGCACTCCATAAGGATTGCAGAAAGTTTTTAGATTTTGTTATGATTGGTGTTATTAGTCAAAGCGGATCATAGAATTTTGCAATTGTTGACAATGCAATTCGTTTGGTGGGTCGATAAGTCGTCGGTATTTGAGAGAAATTAAATAGAAGCTGATCAGACGCCGGATCCCAGGCAAAACCCAAGGCCTTGGCGATGTCCGAGCCATCGTGGAATTTTATTAACTGTTCCCTGTCGCAGGCAGACTCCCCTTCGAGAGCTCCTGCATCATTCGAACACCATTTGCGGATTGGAATGTGCCCTCTCGACAGTAGCTCCTTTACCTGGCGACGAATATCTCTCACCTCTTCAACTGAACCACCACCAGAAATTAAATCATCCACATAGAAATCTCTACGAACAATTTTGGCTCCAACCGGGAATGATTCCTCCTCATCATAAGAGAGCTGATGCATGGCTCTTATAGCCAAGAAGGCAGCTGGCTTAGTTCCATATTCCCGTAAAAATGCGGAGTACTGAGTTTTCAACGCTAGGTTCTTATCCAATTTGGCTTCCAAACTTTTGAAGCGACGACGAGCCAGGCAATAAGAATCACCTAAAGATTCGAATCCTGATGTGG